AACGAGTGAGATATTGTTCTTGCCACTCGAACATAAAATTCATATCTTCTCGTCACCGTGTAATATCCTCTATATATTTTTTGGGGGGAGGGGGGGAGGGGGAGGGGTTACAAATAAATCCTAGGGATTCAGATACCTTTTAGACTAATCATTTGTTACTGTCTGCTTATCTTCAGAATTGTGAACATAACGGAGATGTGCACTTGTGAACAAATATGTTGGAAACAAAATCAGCTTACGCCTTGTCCTCTAGCTCCACTGGAAAGCCTTCTGCTGAAGTACACTATACAGCCAATGATTAACAATGTTGGAGTTAACTTGATCACTTCCTTCCTGTGAACCATTAATAATAATGGTAATCAAGACTACAAATTATGTACATTGATCATCTCTGGTTTTATAGAGTGCCATAATTTTAAGTAATAACAGTGCTGTGAACACTTTTTAAAAAAATGGAGCATACTTGTATACTAATATCCTCATCTGAGAACACTTATTGAGTTCCAGACTCAAAAATTCCTTTCAAAGTTGCATGTCCAAGACATTCAGACATGTCATGACTTTACCACCTTCTCATTGGATGTATTCATCAAAGCCAGCATGAAATACATTGTAAAGTGCATTGTTAACTCTTCAGCAGTTAAGGTTGATGTGTGACTATTTTAAAATGCACTTGAATATTTTAATATAATATTTTCACTTAAAACTTACAGCCAATCTGACTCCTTAACATAAGTAACAGGAATCCAGAATGCCGGATCAATATTCATCTCCTGCTGAACAGCCTCCAAGCTCCGTTCAAAACTTTCAACACTTCCAATAGTGAAGCAAAGATTGCTCTGTATATTAAGGAGAAAAGACAGTGAGTTGTGAACACAAATGACATACACTTCCAATCAACTCTTCACCTCCAATTTAAAAGGTCTATTTATTTTAACATTAAAAGCAGTATAAATATTATTATTATTTATTACTATCAGATCTTAATGATACTGTATATATACCTTGTTTGGATCATTCTTCAGAAACACTTTGACTAGAGTCTGGTTTGAAACAACAAGTTTTTCCACCTGAGGGTAAGAAATCAGCGACACAAGATTGTGAGAAATATTCACTCTCACATTGTAGCACCAAACTTACTTTAGAAGAACTGATCAGTTTTCAAGAAATTTGCAGGAAGCTCTAAAATACAGTGTACAGAACACACCAGAAAAGGGAAGGACCGGCCTATTTTTCAACAAAATGTTGACTCCTCCTTTCCCTCACCCACCCCTTCAAAGCATCCCTGACACTTCTCGACTAGAAGCTCATCAGCTATAACTTAAAACATCTAAAGGTGATCTACAATATGCAGAACTAAGCAATGGAAGTGAACGAGATTGAAGATGGTTTGAACTTGCATGAGAAAGGCAAGGATCTTAAGTGGCACTTCCCTTCTGAATCATGTTCCGTTTAGACTTAGTATTGTACATTCTGTTCTTCCATCCTAGAACTTCTCCTTTTTAAACAACTTAGAAACACAATTTACAACCTCACCTCTCCTCTCTCAAGATACTTTGTTCTAAATTCTTGCCAATTTATCTCTCTCATCTCCATTCCTGAGAACATGAGAAACAATGCTGCTGCGCCTGCTAATGCAGCAGCTATGACAATCTGCTGTGGGTTGTCAAACAGGTTCTTCCACCAATCATCGCCAGGTGGTTTGCCACTACTACCTCCTCCCCCACCATCACCACCCCCTGATGATTCTCTTTTGCCTTCCAAGTTCTCATTCTTACTGGAATCTGATGCTGTCAAATCAAAGAAAAGACCAATGACCAGTTTGTACACATGTACTTACATGTACATGTATGACAAAATGCCTAACATCCCTTATAATTCTGGACTAAATATACTATTATTACATTTGAACCCCACTATTTCGAGCTCTCAGGGGAAGCGAACAATAGTTCGAAATAGCAGGGGTTGGAAATAGCCCCTAATAAATGACTGAAAGGCAAATCCAAGGGAAACGGTTTTGAGTTGGAAATAATGGGGAATTTGAAATAAACAAGTTTGAATTAGCGGCATCCAACTGCATATCATTACTGTGCCTCAGTTATAATAACATGCAAATTCTGCAGTTAAAACCTATGTAACAACTGTGTTTTTTGCTGCTGTCAATCATAATTACTATTATGAGAACAATCTGCTACTCTTTTAATAAAGAAACAAACAAAATCAATCGAATTAAAAAAAAAAAATCATTATTATGCTCATGATCTACAGTCCATAAAGACAACAAGTAGGTCAGTGTACAAATGTATCTGAGAATGTTTAATTAAATGGAGTTGTAAATTATAGGGATAGAGATCAGAGTGGGGTTCACATATGTACAATAAACAATGACCAAGGGATTTAGAAAGATTGGCTGCATAGCAACATCCATTATTACATATATAAATATATTATTATCATTATTATTATTATTATTATTATTATTATTATTATTATTATTATTATTATTATTATTATATACTAGATATGCAGCACTTTTGAGTGGCACATCATGGAATACTGTATCCCACGAGTAACTTGTATTTTCTTAGTATACACCCTAGTCCCGTGAAAGAGTGTTGCATAACTATTTAATACCATGCACTAGACATATTACAGGCCAACACAATCAATGTGACATATGTGCAGCACACGATGGAAAGGTTGGGTGTAACATGACCCAATATACAACAGCTTTCCTGTATTCTGATTGGCTGTATTTTCTATGGCATGGTATAAATGTTATTCAAGCTTGGTAGTCAGACCTCTTATGTACAGCATTCAAGCGCTCTAATCTATAGAAGCATAACATTTAATGTATGTAGTCAATTACCTTTATCTGATTTCTTTTTTGATGCATTGGGATAGAATTTTTCAAAGCCTTTAAGAAAGAAAATTTGTCAGTGATACACAGTGTACATATCATATTAGTATAAATCTACTAGCGTTCTACCACGAATGCCATTCTCTGATTGGCTACGTTACTCACAATCTATACTGTGATAGATAGTGAGTAGCAGTGTGTCCCTTGTTAACAAAATGATGGCTGCTTCTTGGCATTTTCGAAGTATCTGTGAGGAAGGTTTTGAGAAAGTTTTGAACAACTAGTAGATTTATACTAACACAATTAGAATATTCTCTCTCGATTTCTATGCGTGATGGTTGATAAGGGCGCAACCTGAGTCAACTATCACGCATAGAAATCTTGAGCTCATAATCTAATTGTTAAATGGAGGGGAACATAAATTCTGATCTTTTACAAACAATACAGTATACAGGTGAATATAACAAAGAAAAAATGTAAATGTGTGTATTGTGTACAGCGTATTCTTAAAGAAAATACCAATTAAGGTCTCTACTTGCATCATTTCTGTGATACTTAACTCCGTGTTTTTACCAAATTCGCATGGGGGACATTCAAAAGCTTGTAATTTCATCGTTTTGATTAACGATTACGTCACATACGCTGAAAAACAACTCCTCATACACAGCATCATTTAAAAGCCATATAAGTATCATGATCTCCAGAAAAGAGGAGTTTTATTTTACCCTTTGGAGGATCAAAATGGAGAATTCTTCCCAGCAGCCAAGTGTTTCTTGCATTCTGACTCAGCAATAATTCTCGCACACCATCGGAGTACTTCACGAACTGCGTGTGAGGAGAATAAAAAACATACAAAAACACTTGGTTAGGCAGCTCTTATTGAGTCAAAAACGCAAACTTATCGCATGGTATACATCAACACCAGGGCTAGGGTATGTTTACGGTTAGGGCGTATTATCTGAAACACAAAAACTCCAAACATGAGAGCGTAGATATCGCAAAAACATAAGCTCAATTACCTGGACCCTGGGCTGCAGAAGTCTAAAAGTTGCCCTAGTCAACAAAGAATTTACTCCTCTTGCACAGAGCCTGTAAGCCATTGCTGTTACCAACTGATTCTATGAGGGCTGCTGAATTTCATAACATAAAGAGTACTAGTAGTATACCCGACAAAGACTGTGCATCAACTAAACCGTTGTGCTGACATTCACGGCTTATGCAACTCATTCAAGATGGCGAACATAAATACAGCAGGCGCGGTCGCACTTGAGCGGAATAGTTTGTTTTTTTTGCGAAGTTTCTGCGCATTCTGATTGGCTCCCTCAGAGGTCCTGATTAGGAAGGAAATATTTTTAAAAAGAAAGAAATTTTACATGTAAAAGTGAGAGTCGCAAAGAGAGTCGAGAGTCGCAAGAGTGAGAGTCGCAAAGGTCGAGTCTGTGTAGCGTGAAGAGTTCAAAGATGATATGTCTTGTAAAATACGGTAACGACAGAAAGGGCGACATCACGCTTACGATAGAATCCAGACTCCTCTGAGGTGAAAACATATAGAACTTGGTAGCATGTCTCAGACTTTTCAATGGCGTTTCTGA